GACTTGGTTTGATATTGAGACAGTTGTTTTGAGAAATTTATCTCTTGCTGTAGTTATACATAGTGATACAAGGTTATTACAACACAGTCCTTGCGTTCGGTCTGTGATGTCACTCCTAGGTGGAGCATTTCACAACAGAACACCATGTACCCATGAAGTCCTGGGTTAGAATTGATCTTCAGCAACCCTTGCTTCTCGTAAGAGGCGACTAATGGGATCGGGTGGTCAGGCTCGCTGACTTGGTTGACACATGTCATCGTATCCCAAATGCGTAGATCGATGCTCATACTGTTGATCACAGGATTGTTTGGTCCGGACTGCCATCATATGGCTGGAAAATTGCTGAGTGTGGCATTAAACAACAAACATATAGATCACCACACAAATAGTGGCAGAATATTATTGTTATTTGGTTCACTCAGCTCAGGATTTATATCTACCTACTATCCATTGTGTTATGGTCAAATATACCAGAACTGGAAATAACAACTATTTCTTGGTCTATGTGTTTGTAAAGTTGGTTAAGAAGAAGGTTACATGTATATCTAAAGATTGTATGAGTGTTCGAATGTGTTCATGATATGTGAACAGTGACTTCATAATCTCCATAACAATGATGGAGAATATAGGTGTTTTCATGATGTTATACATTAAAGTTTGATGACATCATCTGTAGCAATGCCAAAATTGATTAAACTCATTGAACACTTTGGAAGTCAGTGTCTAGGAAAATATACTGATATGAAAATCCGGGCCTAGATTTTTAAACGTTTGTAGCCCTACAAACTTCTTAAGTCCATTCTTAACACATTGGCTACAATCAAAGTTAAGAATGCTTATGGCTACAAACATTTCGAAAATCTAGGTCCTGGCCTCTGACTACTGTACAGTTTAATTATTTCATCAAGAGCAGCTATTGATGTTGTAAGTTTGTGAGAAAAGCCTTTGGTTCACGGGCATTGGTTTTGGGGAAATGGATTCAAACATGTAACTGTGGAAACTGTATCTCTGTGAAAGTGCCTATAATCAATTTTAATACTGACTTGTCAAAAGCAGAGCTATGGGTTGTTGTTGCACACCGTTTTCTTAATAGATTTCTGATTGGGAAGGTACATGAATCGTAATCCCCTTTTAAGTTATATCATGGGCCGATCCAGGAATTTTTAAAGGAGGGGGTTAAAAAAACAACAACCCTGAATCACACCCCCACCCCCCCTGGATCCGCCACTGTATATGATGCCTGTGCACCAAGATGTGTTCTACAGCCTGTTTATCCAGTGTGTGACATGTCTTACTTATACCAACATGTGTTCATTCCAGTCCTTAGTTCTCTGTGAAATATACGACTCAAAAGAAGTTAAGGGTCATCCATATCTTTCATATCACTACAAGGAGGCTGAGGTGGTGCAATTATCTGCCATATATGACCAGAGGCAAGCTGAATTTTGAGGACCAACAAAAGGAGTTTGTAGAAAGTGTGATAACACAATGCCATTTTAGAAAGTGGTCAAATGTAACATGTTATATTTGGGATTACACTTTCTTAGTCAAGTACAAATTCTAGTACTTTTTGGGGTGGAGTCCCATCCGGGGAATTGTACCCATGTGGGGAATCGAACCCAGGTGTTTGGTGTGATGAGCCAACACTTTAACCACAAGGCTACCCCACCGCCCCTGTCTATGAGATCGGCTTATCTACAGTCCTATACAGTAAGTTTCTTCCCCTTGGTGTGGCAGGAAACTATGATTGTGATTCCAGTTCAGTTCTATAGTCCGTTGTTGTAAAAGCAGATCGATGAATTCACCAATCTTGACTCGAAAACTAATAAACATAAAATACTCAATGAAACACTGATCATAATCAAAGTCCCTCAGACCAACTCTGTGAATTTTGTAGAATTATGCAAATAAAAACTTGTTTAGCAAACTATCATTAAAATATCGACACAATTCACTATATGTTACGAGGGATCAAGGTGTGAGAGAAAGGATAGAAGGCACAGCACAAGTTAATGAATCAATAACGTTGTCGGCACTTGTGCATGTGTTTCTCTAACACCTGGCTGTCCCTTTCTCTGCACTCCTCCCTCGTAACAAATGGTGAACTGTGTCAAAATTTTAATGATAGTTTGTTAAACAACTTTTTTAATTTTAGAACATAAATTCTGCAAACAAATTACAGAGTTGGTCTGAGGTTTTGATTATGATCAGCGTTTCATTGAGTATTATATGTTTATTAGTTTTCGAGTTAGATTGCAATTCATCGGTCCGCTTTTGAGCCAAACGGACTATAGGTTTGTCATCAAATCATCAAAGACAGACACCTCAGACTTTCCTGCTATAATCTGATATATCAGCTTTAAAGCCAACATGCATGGCAAGACAGATTGACTGTAGTGTAATATAAAAGAATCAGATGGTCCTTAACAGATTTTGAATAGTATTTCCTCTTAAACCAAAGAATCTCTGCAGGACAATGTTTTTTTCCATCAATTATGTGAGTGAATAAAAGTCGTCGTGATGACACCTACATCCTTGGAATCGCTACTTTAAGAGTGTAGGTGTCATTATTGTCGGAATTTATATGTATTTGACAAATGTTCCAGTGTAAAGATATACACCAACTTTTCAGGTTGTTCTTTTGTTACATTTACTTTTGGAAATATTACGAAAAATAATTGCTAATAAATTTGAAGGATTATTTTTTTCTGATATACAATTGAAGTGAATTGAGTTCTGGGTGATGGAAATCTTTCCATTCTTTTTCTTCTTAGATGAATAGTTTGATTGTTGTATTTCAGAATATACATGCAGTTGATACCATGACAATTTGGGTAAGACTTGGTCTTCAGCAACCCATGCTTGTTGTAAGATCGGGTGGTCAGGCTTGCTGACTTGGTTGACACGTCATCATATCCCAATTGTGTAGATCGATGCTCATGCTGTTGATCACTGGATTGTCTGGACACGATTGTTGAAAGACCACCGCCATATAGCTGGAATATTGCTGAGTGCGGCATTAAACAACAAACATGTTGTAGTTTTTACTGAAACTTACTTGTACAGAAACGTGTGTTGATTAACTCCGGGTATTGTGGAACCAGTGAATAACGCTGTCATGTTTGTTGCAGGATAATCCATATGGTAATGAATATATGATTTAAGTATGTCCATTAAAGAGTGCTTCATATGAGAGAAAGCAGAAATTGTCTGAAATTAAAATATTTTAAGATTTGTTGTTTTGTTTAATTGTCTGTTAATAGGAAGAGAATGTCTAAAATTACCTAAAATGAACTTGAAGAACAGTTCTGTAGACGTGCAAGAGAATTTTGGGATATATATGTACGATGCATTGGATTTGTGTCTTTCTTTACTTTTCCAATATACTCAACAAATTTAAACAGTGAGCATGATGGCCAGTGCAATATGTCCGTTCTTCATTGTTTTCCTCCCACAGGAAGTCATCTGCTGCATGATATCTGAAATGTATTCAAAGCTGCACATTGTGCATTTGGAGCCAACACTAAGGCACTGGAACTGCTTATTGCCTGAAGTGAGAAATTCTTTATCTGACTCCCATTGTCATAATCCTTGGCTTGTCTATGGCATTTATTGCACTGGAACTACAGACTGCCACCAACAAGCTGGGAATGATATTGTCCCGGTGTGGAGATCTGATTGGCAACTCACATTTGTTGCCTATCATTTGGCTTTTGTCAAGAGTGATTTTGTGGGAGATAAAAAGGCATTTTCAAGAGAACATTTACCAATGTAATAATTGCTTGTGGAACAAAAAGTAAATTCAAATTCACCCCAGACCAGTGTGTGATTGTGTACTTTTCATGTTTGCTTACACGGAGTAAGGATATCCTCGGGGGGCCTGGTGGGTGAGCTGGTTAGTAAGCCAGGCTAGTGATCCAGCAGGCATGAGGTGCTGGGATTGAGCCCACCTGTGACCTTGGAGTCAACTTTATGGGCAGACTCTTTCTTTCAGTGTTGTCACAACCCCTAGTGTACAGTACACAACCCTGTGCACTTAAAAGAACCCACGAGTCTGTTGGTATATGACCAGATGGTGGCCACTTGAATACGTGCAAACACCTAGTTGCGGGTACAGCAACGTGCAGTAAACTTGGACAAAGTACTGGGACTATGTGTCCCAGTCCACCCAGCTGTGAATGGGTACCTCGTTAGGATGAGAAAGCCACAATAACTCGGTGCGCCTTGTGGCAGCAAGAGTTGTACACTCCCCAGGGAGTTGAGATTCATAATAAGATATGCCGTTGAGATTGACATCCAATGATTGAGGGGAAAAATTCCCATGCCTTGAGCATGCACTAGTGAGTGGATATGGGCGCTATATAAATATCCAATGATGATGATGATAAGCCTCTGCTGGAGTTAAGATGAATCTGGTGGTCGTTAATTATTAACATTCCCCTGTTATATGGCTGGAATACAGCGGAGGGAAGCATGAACCAAGCAATCCCTCAGTCGGTTTCAGAATGTGCTGGAACAGCTTCTTCTCATGACATGGAGATGATTATGTGTTTTGGAGACAGTGAGATGTTACGACATCTTCTACTGTGTTTTTGTGTCTCTCCTTCCTATGGGGTCATCAAGTCTTCCAAACAATTTGTCCATGCACATGTTGACACAGGCAAGTCAGGTGAGTGAATAAAGTGTTACGCCACTTTTAGCAATATTCCAGCAATATTATGGTGGGGACACCAGAAGTGGGCTTCACACATTGTACCTATGTGGGGACCTGTACCTGGGTCTTCAGCGTGACAAACAAAAAAAGCTTTAACCTCTAGGCTTTCCTCAGGTGGCTGACTTTGATCAGATGCAATGATGATGAGACGTATCAGTTAACTGTGATTCTGTCCTTTGATGAAACAATACAGGAACTTTTGATGCAAAAGTAAATGAAGATTTGAGTTCTTTTTCAAAAACTTCATCATTGAGCTGCAGATGAGATCAACTGCCACACACACACAAACATGAAATACACATTTATTGACAGTTCCGATTTATTCCACTATGCACCAATCAGGTCACCTTGACCTTACAAGACCGACCAGTCAGCATTTCCACATTTCTAACTTCTTAATGAAGTTTGTATATGATAAAATCTGTTATATACCAGGTTGTCTTCAAGTGAGTTTATCAGACCAGTGGTACAAAATCTGTCTGTAAATATAAAAGTATTACATTTTTGTCCTCAATAATGTCTACTTCTGGGCTTAAAATGATGGAAAATGAAACTAATAAATATATATTTAACAATATGAAAGAACAATGATGATATAACAAAAATCTCAATAAGACATTAAAAACATTGAAGGGATTGTTCACTTCAAGACTGACCATTTCTGGAGGTGGAGGGATGGTGGCATTTTGGTTCGAGATTTTCTTCTCTCACGCCATTCAGTTTCATTCTCTGAGAGGAGCCTAATATTATGACCACAACATATGTATTTTCTTAGGGATTTACACTTCCTTAATATTGTCCATCTTTAGAGACTGGTCATTTTTTGTAATACTGAGGATGAGTGAGTGAGTTTGGGTTTTGCGCAGCTTTTAGACGCTTCCAGCAATATCACGCTAGGGAACCAGAAATGTGCTTCACACATTGTACCCATGTGGAGAATCGAACCCGGGGTCTTCGGCGTGACGAGAAAACGCTTTAACCACTAGGCTACTCCATTACCCCTACTGGGGATGATTAAGATGGGGTTGGACTGAATCTCATTATCCACCCCCTCCCCCTCCACAAACACACACCATACAATCTTGGCCACCCCCCATTTGCTATGTCATTCTCCTCATCCTCCCTCCCTCCTTTCCATCCCCTATAAAAAATGACCAGTCCCTAATGGAAATATATACATTTCCCATGTGAGTGCAACCCCTCTGTTAACGTTGATCTAGATATTCAACAATGTTTCAAAATATATTCTATTTTTCATCCGACCTCTTAAACAATCGTGCAAATCATAACTTTCTTGTACTGAAACAAAATCTACAAAAGGTTATTAATACAGTTTGAAACCTCAGAGCAGCTGAAAGATGGATATGTTTGTTGAAGATATTCAAATTTATAATTGCTCAGTACCTGTGTACACTGAACTCAACAGGTTTGGGCAGACAAACAGAAGGATCACACTTACCCATTGCCATAGAACCTTGACACACATTCACACTTTCATTCACATATATGAAATACTTAAATACCTAATTCAATGCACCAACTTCTTTCATAACATAGAAAATCTTGTTCCTTCATCCTGTTCCTTCATTATCTTCCTATGGTACAAAACAGTAAAGCTATGACTTAAGAGTTACCTGCCCTTGTGCACACTTGAAAGACTCCATCAATGAGAGGCTTGTTCTAGGTAATGACTTGCACAAAATGGTCAACTTGTTCTGGACGTTTTCACTTAAAACATTCATCTCACTCAAAGAAAAGACTATTTCCTAGATTACATCCAATGTAATTAAATTCAGATCATTCACTCAGATACATCACTTCTGATCGAGGAAATAAAAACATAATGAGGTCAGGTGAGGTGAAATTGGGTTTAACGTCGTGACATAATGAGTTGTATAAGGTGAATAATTAGTGGACTTTGACCACCCCATCTATGTGAAGAATGCATGAATCAACTTTCTGAAATGATGCAGCATTACCTTTTTGTCACTTGATGTTAGAAATGTTTATTAGTACTAAAGAAACTTATACAAACCACAAATATACTTCTGATAGTACTCCCTTTGGACTGTAGAATCCTTGGGGCACAGAAATTTGTTCGGTATTTTATACACCCAGTCATATCAAGACACTGTCTCTTTTTACAACCATTTCAAATTGTCATTATAGTTTTAAAAGTACAGAAATCAGATGTTCTGTCCTGAATGCATTCTGTGACCTTAGCACAAAGTTAACCTGACATTACCTCTTCAGGAGAGGTACCATAACCGAGTCAAAGATCTAAATTTAATGTGATTGTCTCATATCTTCAGCTAATAACAGTCATTTGGTCAAAGGAGATTACATGTTCATATGAATTAAAAGTTCTGAATTCTTAATTCTTCAGGATTTAGGCTAATACTTGAACTAATACTAGCAACCTAACAACAACTTTAGCAAGTCAGTTATTATGTTATTTTTGAAAGTGATGAGATTTTAAATATTTTCCCAGATGCTATATAGAGCCAGTTCTGAATTTTTATGTTAACATTTAAATTAAAAGTATAACATCAAAGAGTAAAATAGTTCTTCCACAATAAGAAATATATTGTAAACATTGCCATTAAAATATGTTGCTTATAAAAACTTACAAGATTAAAGAAAACAATATATATACCATATGTATTAACTGGAGAGTAAAGCTACTGAGATTTTCAAAATCATATTCACACAGTAAAATTACATGGTTAAACAAATAGTATAAAAATTCTCAAGTTCTATCACTAATATTGCAGAAATTAAGCATGAAATACATACCATAATCATCAAAACACCAAAATTTATTTTTTAAATCTCATAATAATTTCTAGTTGTGAAGAGTTATTGTAATGTTACTGATTAGGAGGGAGAGACATTCACATAAATAGATGATTCCAATGTAAAAATATCTGAACTGAAGTGTTGGCAGTCTAGTGTTCAACTCCATACATGGAACCAGGCTTCTGTCCAACAAAGCCTTCAAGCGCAATGTCAGTCGTAAGTCTATGTTAAAGTTGGACAGTTACGATCACCTTAACGCTACGATTATTTTATTGAACAGACCCCTGATGTCAATTCCTTAATCGTGTAAACTAAACTAAGGCAAGACCAATTTTATTTCTTGTTTTTGTCATTATTTTGTAAGAAAAATATCTTAATTTTTTTTTTAAATTTCCCCACTTGAAAAATAAAATCCTAATGTTAAGCTATACAGGAGCGACACATCGACTATGCAAGGACATTTGTTGGACTCTAAACACCGGTATCTGTTTCCAAAGACTTTAAACTGAATTATCTAACAATATTTGTGGTTGAAATCAGTGCTTCAGGCACCTCAGCAATAAAAATGTAAAAAAAAGCCTTTGAAAAACTCATGTGGGTTTTCACTTTGACTGGTGACTGTTTTGTTGTTGTTTTTTCGATTGCCTTTAGGTTTTCTTCGGACAAAAATCTGTAAAACAAGTAATAATACTGGTCTGGCCTGAACAACTCACTGACTGAGTTTGGTTTTACGCCGCTTTTAGCAATATTCCAGCAATATCACGGCGGAGGACACCAGATATGGGCTTCACTCAATATACCCATGTGGGGATTCGAACCCAGTTCTCCGGCGTGACAAGACAACACTTTAACCACTAGACTACCCCACCGCCCCTGGCCTGAACAATCAAATATTCATCGAAAAGCAAAATAGAAAACAAAACCAGGAACAAGACAAACTTGCTCACTGCGACATTTCTTGAAAGTTACATTCCAATATTATAACAAGTATTGCAGAAAGTGACACTCGAGAAACTAATACTTAACATTGGTATAACAAGCATAGCAGAAAGCTGTGCAAATACTATTACTCAGTATGTCATTAAGAATTGGCCAGAATGTAATTAAGGGTTTCATCTAGGGATCCAGAAATGGGCTTCACACATTGTGCCCATGTGGGGATTCGAACCCGGGTCTTCGGCGTGACGAGCCAACGCTTTAACTATTAGGCTACCCCACCGCCCCCTCTCAAACTGAAATGGATCCTTTCACAAAGCCTGTTCTTTTGTTTCAGTGAGTGGAAAAACTACCAAATCCTACCCAAAGTTGCACCTTGAATTCTAAACACAAATTTCATATCTGTATAAATTATTTCAGATGACAACCACAGAAAATAACTGAATGAGTTTTAGTTATTTATCAGCCTTACAATGTGTTCAACAAAATCTGAAAGTCATGTGCAGAACGGCATATCTAGCATGTCATATCAACTCAGGACTACTTCATTGATTTGATCTCAGAAGGTTACACCACATTCCTTTCTTGTTTACAGTCAAACAACAGAATGTTACACAACCAAAAAGGCTCAAATGGAAAATGCCCGGATTAGACAATTTTCTATAAAAGCACCAAAATACAGTTGTGAGAAAACTGAAACTAAAGGACACAAAAAATAATATCTAATTACAGTGGAAGCTTTCTAAACAGGCATGCGTTGGGACTGGTAAACAATGCTGATATAGAGGGTGTGCCGGTATAGAGAACTTTTTCCCTTTTCAACCTGAGAAAGATCTTCCATGTGTCGTAACATACGACTGAACACGTGTTGATAGTCATCATATTCTTGTCAACTTCACTCTGACCTACACTGGCACTTTCACCGCTCACATTGAACTGTGTGATGTCGTATCATGTCTTCGTGCCTGCCAGACACCCATCTGATGCCTTAGATCGTTGACATTTAATTCTGAAGCAAACTGAATTGCTTTCTCTTTCAAAATAGGGCCAGAATTAGGTCGAGATACCGGATGTCGATTTAGAGAGCATTAATTACTGTACAAACAGTCAATTGGGCGGTCTTTGCTATGCTGAAATACGGAATAGACTGACGTCGGATTATAGGGCGTGTAAAGGATCATAAATTAACTAGCTTCTGCCGGGACCAAATTCTAGTGCAGATATTGAGAGCATGCAGGATTGGAGGGCTGCTGGTTTAGAGGGCTTCCATTGTATTTGAAAAAAAAACAGCAATAGGCTAATCTAAAAAACAAGAATATTGCCTCACTTTCTCTGTATCTTTGTTCGTGAGAAATAATCATTTTGTAATTTTAACAAAGTAAATTTAAATCCTATTTAATAACCAATCATTTGTATGGCAGTGAATCTGCCCGAGGGCTTTATGTTTAAAAGAGAGTGAGTGAGGTTATATGGCAGCTTCAGCAATCTTCCAGCAATATCACGACAGGGGACACCAGAAAAATAGCTTCACGCATTATACCCGTTAGGGGAATCGAACCCGGGTCTTCGGCGCGTGATGAGCGAACGCTTTAACCATTATGCTACTCCCACTACCTCCAGTACTGTTTAACATGTACAAGTTAAATATTCACAATGATTACTTCAAGGGGAGCTTGGTCTTGGTTTGTTCAACATGCACTTGTTAGGATAGATTCCACCGTTATGTCCACACTAATATCATAGAAGTTTATCATGAAGGAAAACAGAATCAAACAATGAGGTACCTCTCCAAAAGAATAAAATATACAAAGTTCTTTGTCAAAGTAACCAAAATCCCTGAATATGGAGAAAAACCTAAAAATGACAGTCACTGAATCCATGTCAAATGGTAACACTGAAACGTTGCTCCAATGAAGCAATTATCTTTAACGACGAACCAGATTCCAAACAGCATGCACGCATGACAACTTCTATCACAAACTTGTCAATATCACTCGCTGACACGTGACTTGAAGGTGGCGAAACACTGAATCAACAACACATGGCAGCTTGAGTCACATGTGAACACAGATTAGAACATAACCCTGTTGAATTTCTCCCCAATATTGACTCCACGTTTACACGCGGACATGTCAGCTGTCAAAATCCTCCAGAAGAATTTTCCGTTCAAAATTCCATCTTCGGCACAGAGATGTCATCAAACTGATCTTGAATCACACTCAACAGTTTGCACCAGTTTTGATATTTATAACAAGCTATATCTTCGAATGAGGATCTCTAAAACATATATATATGTATTTACACACCCACACATATATATATATATATGTATATACCTAGGTCTGTCATAGGACCTTCAACATAATTGTTAAAAATAACTCATTTTGAACTTTAACTTAATCCACAAAAGAGCTATTTTCATCCTCAGAACATGTTTTTCGTTGGAAGTCATGATATGGCGTAACTCTGAGAATTGCAACTTGCACATTGTTTTCTTAAAGTTTGATCATTAAAATCAAAATCTGTCAGTGTGAGGAACCATGAATGAAAACAGTCAGGCTCCTCCCATTACAATCCTTCAAAGCCTGTAATCATTTCCATTTCAACACTTGGTCCAATATTTGCAGCACCTTAAAGTGTAGAGGTTTGTCCATTGAAATATTGAAATGGGAGTTACCTCCCTTCCTCTGCGTCTGCTTATGGTCTTGTGTTTGATCCTAATTTAGTTGGGTACTATGTTTGCACCTTCCCTTTACTGACTTGAGCAGGTGTGATGCCATTTTGTTTTGTTAGTCCATGAGAGCTCTCTTTCTTCTTCTTTTCTTCTTCCAATGCCTTCTGCATCTCTGTGTAGTATTCCAGTGCTTTCCGCACAGGTTCGATGATTTCGGGCTGCAAGTGGAATTAGGTAAGTAGGTAAGTATTTAAAGATGTGAATACACAATGCCAGTTAGACTGACTGACTGAGTTTAGTTTTACGCCGCTTTTAGCCATATTCCAGCAATATCACGGCCGGGGACACCAGAAATGGGCTTCACACATTGAGCTCATGTGGGGAATTAAATCCGGGTCTTCGGCATGACGAGCAACTAGGCTACCCCACCGCCCCAATGCCATTTAGAATATGGTCAAATGTAACATAAGTACGCATACTCAGATTTAAACCCACACTCTCAGAGACAGGCACCTAATTGCCAGGCTAGCTATTCTCGAACCTTTCGAAACGCGTTACAAACTTCTTAAGCTCATTCTTAACACATGGGTACGATCAAAGTTAAGAATTCTTAGGGCTACGAACGTTTCGAGAATAAGGGCCCTGCACACAAAGTCAAACCCTCTCAGCATGGGCTTCACATATTGTACCAATGTGGGGAATCAAACCCAGGTCTTTGGCACTTTCACTACTAGGCTACCCCACCAACCGCATGGGTAATTGAAAAACAAATTCAAACATCACAGACGTGATGAAATTTTGAGGTTGGTTGTCACTTTAACCTGCTGTTGAGATCAAGACTGGATTAACAACTGGCTTAATTTAAAACAGGGTGTGAATGGGTGTGTCAGGTTTAATGCTGCCTCCATCACTGTTCCATTCATAACATAAAATATCAGCTTGATGTAGGAGGAGAGCCCAAAGGATGTTGTGTTTTCCATATAGAGTTATGTCCCCTGTGTCCAATTAAATACAAAATCACAGTTAATTGTATCAATTTGTCTGCACAAGTATTTATAGCCACACAATCTCTGAATTTTGTCTGAACCATGGCACTTCACTTTGTGAACAGATATGTCAGTATTCTAAAAAGCCTACTATACTGACGCCAATAAAGAAAGAAGGTTTTCTTCTTGGAATACAGTCTGGTCACAGTAGAACTAAGTTGGCTAGGATTTCTTAATAAAATTGATTTGTACCAGAAAAACTAGGAATATGAATTTGTTCCTCAGGGTTTTTATTTGCAGAATATCCTCTTAAAACAATGTTTCGCTCAACTTTTCAAAGAGAAAACTGTTTCTCCAATCTGAAGCTGAGAAAATGTCCTGTCTCTAGCAAACATTCTGAGCCCCACCTACAAAAATATCAAAATATTCAAGACAACTATGGCGCCAAAACATCATAAAATGTTAAAGGTATGTGTTGAGCTAAAAACATTCCTTTTTTCCCCCAGGCTAAAGGTGAGGTGAAATTGGGTTTAACGTCGTGCTTGAGAATATTTTGCTTATATGACAACGTGCATGTGTGTGTATGTGTATGTTTGGCTGCTTGTACTAGCCAAGACTTAAGCTGGTTTTATAGTGCTAGCCCACTGAGATACCATGACGCAGTGAAGCATGAATACCCCACTCAGACACATTATAATGACTCCGAGACAACCAGTCCTTGTTGTACCCATTAATGCCGAGCACCAGGCAGGGACCAATTGCAACAAGTACCATATTTCAACGTCTTTGGTATGACGCGGTTGGGGATCAAACCCGCGACCTTCCGCTCTCCGGGCGGACGCTGTAACCACTACACCATGGAGGCGGGCGCCCCAGGCTAAAATTCACCCTCACCTATTCACCAAACGAAAATAAAGTGACCCAAACAAGACTGTTACCTCTACTTTAGGAAAGAGACTCCCAAGAGCTTCAAACAATGGCAGCAAAACAAACTTGATAAAACCAACTTGAGACGACGGCTTCGTGACCTTGTCACGATCCATGAAGGGTGCAACAGGTAACCCCTCTAACTTTTCAAGGTCACTCTGCAAAAATGAAAAACAAAAATAACAATTACTGGAGATCATATGATCCAATTAAAAATAATCTATTTCTACACAAAATGTTTACTTTTCGGACCACAGGGGAGCATCTCAAAACTTAAATGTCAGGTAAACTTTGTACTTTGTGTTTCAAGGTTTTTAAGGTTCAGCTCAGTACAGCTCCAGTTATATCTTTGCATGAGAAATATCACTAACACACAAAATAACATGAAACACTAGACAGTTCATGCCAGATGAGAAGTGAGTGAGAAGTGGTTTAGTTTTACACTGCAATCAGCAATATTCCAGCTATATGGCGGCGGTCTGTAAATAATCGAGTCTGGACCAGACAATCCAGTGATCAACAGCATGAGCATCAATCTGCACAATTGGGCACCGATGACATGTGTTAACCAAGTCAGTGAGTGTGACCACCGGATCCCGTTAGTCGCCTCTTACGACAAACATGGGTTTCTGAAGATCAATTCTAACCCGGACCTTCACGGGGCGCCAGATGCTGCTGTTGGTCCACACACTTTTGTTGTGCTTGACTTCCAAACAAAATCAACCAGAATATAATGTTAGGGAGCTTGGTTTAAAAACTAAAGGAAGATACACTTTTCTTAACTGATATGAAATTTTTGAACTGCTCCCCAAACATCTAAGGAAATGAATAAATAGATCGTTTAATAATTTCTGAATTTTATTTTTTTAAACAGTATTCAATTTATTTATTGATATGATAATCAGTAAAATATTATTGTAAAGTCTTAAAACTCATGAATTTACCTGGTTGAAAAATTCTTGTAACAAACAATCCAACCATGGTTCAGCAACCTCCATGGGTCTAACTTCATTTGAAATGTCAGCCACTTTAATTAATATCATCAACAGCTGAGAGGTAAGGGAAAAAAACAGAAAAATAAATAAAACAAGTGGAAACAGAAAATACAAAAAATGGAAAGATACTGCCACCGATATTGCCCAGAGAACCATTAAACCTGGAGTACAAAATTCCTTTTAAGTTTTGCAAACTTTTATAGAATCTGCTATTCAGGGATCAGATGGCGGAATGTTCATAGTTATCAATTTTCAGGAATGACAATAGATATACCCAAATGTGTCAATCTGACATGATGTAGAATGAGTGAGTTTAGTTTTATGCCACTTTTAGCAATATCCAGCAGGGACACCAGAAATGAGCTTCACACATTGTACCCATGTGGGGAACTGAACCTGGGCCTTCAGCGTGACGAGTGAATGCTTTAACCACTAGGCTACCCTTCTAACCCAAAGCTGCAGAAAGGGTACCTGTAGGACATCGGTTTGGTACAACGGTCAAGTTGTACCGAGACAAAGATTTACAGGCAAATTTTGTGAAGTTGATTCTTGGTGTCCGGGTGAGTGATATTCCTGTCATATTGATAAAATATGGCCAAAAACTTTTAATTAAGACCTTAAAATCCCAACACTTTGAACTCAAAATTTAATGACTCTTTTGGCAAAAACAACAGAGTACAATCTGTAGGATACATTCACTGCAAGCAAAAAGTATAAGTCAAAGGTCGACATGGAACACGTAGGAACATCATGCATGCTGTGCTGTGAAATAAAATACAAGTACTCCAGACCAGACAAATTTGAATTTTTTATTTTACTTACAAGTCACAACCAAACATTGGAAGGTTAAGAAATGCATCATACGATGTCACAGAAAATTATTTTGTAATAAGCATGTTTGTAATTCAAAGCATTATGTCAAAGGAAAGAATTTAAATTTGTCTGGTCAAACAAAGAAAGGAAAATACTTGTCAGTTTGAACTGATATAAGATCCTTAATTGTAATCCATCTCTCCTCAGAGTTTTCTTGTTGGTCCCAAAGTCCCTGAACCATGTTTTTTTCCCATCCTCTCAGCCCTGTCTGCAGTTCTTGTTTGCATGGTTTGTTGTTTAAACGCCGCACTCAGCAATATTTCAGCTTATGACGGTGGTCTTTGAATAAGGGAGTCTGAACCTGATAATCCAGTGATCAAAATCATGATCAACGCAATTTGGATATGATGACATGTGTCAGCCAAGTCAGCGAGCCTGACCACCCGATCCCGTTAGTCGCCTCTTACGACAAGCGTTGGTTACTGACGATCAATTCTAACTCGGATCGTCACGTGTGTCTACAAAACAATAGCCTAAAACGAAGCAAGATTTTCCAAAATTGACACTTCCCACGTATCCACAAATCTAGTGTACCCCGGTTTAACAGTTCCACCTGACAAGTATTTCCGCCATTTCCCTGTTGTGGATGGATACAAAAGTCATGCATAGAAAACATAAAACCAGCTGCACCATGGTGGAAGCTGAAAGGGACAAAACTGAAACACTGTTACAGTCTGCAAACCTGATTAAAGAATTCTTGCAGTAAACAATCGACCCATGGCGCAGCAACATCAAGAGGCCGAGCTTCATTAGAAATGTCCGATACTTTCATTAGTATCATCATCAGCTGAGAGAGGAGCACACATATCAAGTTTACAAAACATGATATTTTTAAAAAATATCCATATAGGTAAAAAATATTGTCTCTCAGGCAAGTGCATACAATTTGCCAATGGAGTGATATTCTTTCATTTTTTTATAATGTGCTGAAAATGAACAGTAAAGGAAAATATAAAATATTTCAAATAGAAATGAACAGTAAAGGAAAAATATATATTTTAAAGTAAAATTTTGAAAAAAATATTTAAAATATTTAAAATTAAAACTTGACTTGAAAAAAATGTTTTTGAGATTTTTTGTGCATATGGACCACTGTCTGAGAAGCAATGTTTTTTTAGCCCAAACAACCATAGCTGCAGTTATGATGATTTGTTGTTGGCCTGTAGATAAACAATCAGGGTAAAAAAAAAATATCTCCATCAATAAAGCCTGAGAATACAAGGTCAGTGTAACCATAGCAACACCTTGTAATTCCTTAAGTCACAGAACATTCGAAGAAGAGTCTCATAAGAAACTGATTTTGTAGAACGTGGTACCCAACTATTTACATGACATTGTGTTCATCCTCAAAACAAGTATCTTGAGATCTTGCCTGTTTTGGTTTCAATTAATCAATTTGTCAGAAATACAGCATGTTTCAAATAACATAATTAATAAACAAAAATATTAAAAATCCACCTTATTCACACATAATATTTTGATGGTTTTCATTTATTTATTTTTTTAAAAATATGTTTTTCTTTTTAAAGAAATATTTGTCCTGTTTCATACATACCACAGATCTATGTTCTTTGTCCTTAAAGTCAAACGCAGGTACAATGGATTTGAACGAGTGTAGAATCTCATTGTGTTTTGCCATGTCTGTTGCTAGAATACACCTGAAACACAAAGCGCTCTTTTCTAGAAAACATTCTTCATTTACAAAATCAATGCAACAAACAAACAGATATGATTTTCAAATCTCCTCACCTCTCTCATAAATCTTAAACCTCAAAAGCAGAAGAAGAGTAGAACATGACGATAGGAAGCTACCAGGGACTGGATGAATGTATGCTGTTTGTTCTGTACGATGTCTCTCAGAAACATGAGCCATCTTGGATATACCAACACAATAATGGCATCATTTATATCTTTAATGTAATATCACTACAATGGTTGAATTCTCAGGGTTGATTTTGTTGATTTCTACACTGACATAGAGTACATATTGCCAGCAACTCTGAGGCTGAGTGTGATTTCTCATATCACTTTAAATAAAGTTGATGCATGATACGTCAAAGGGAGGCAACTGTGGCTACGTACTTGATCATACCCTCTCGTACCCTGCGGTACTCATCTCGGGGAAGATTACGTAGAATGTTACACTGCTTCTTCTCCAGTATTTTAAATGCTTCGGCGCAGTGATGGTTCTCTAGTGGAGAGATGTCATTATACCGCAGTGCCAGCTCGGTACGAGCATTTATCTGCAAACAAAAAGGCACAGATCAAATTAGTCAGCCAATCTATCAAATATACTTTAAGCATGATCATATTTACAGCTCAGCACCTTAGATGAAGGTCCTTAATTGAAATGACTGACTGACTGACTGACTGACTGAGTTTGGTTTTACGCCGCTTTTAGCAATATTCCAGCGACATCACGGCGGGGGACACCAGAAATGGGCTTCACACAATAATTGAAATGAAAAGATTCCAGAATCACTGTACAGAACAAAGCACACCCTTCATCTTGAAGTGGCTGTCAGTGTTTGACATTAAATAAAATTCCTTGCTAGATCAACATAAAAGTAAAAATTCGAAAACATTTGCAGTTCAAGTTGTTACACAATGCTCAGCTAATGGTTTGGATCTTTTCCAGCAAACACGTACTTGTGGAAAATACATTACTGTATAAGACACAGATCAATGGCAGTTTTACATCAGTTTCAATTACCAAATTTCTGGCATATCACTTTGATTCAGTGCTCCTGATAATTGTTTAGTTACGGAGTATCTACTTATTCTTCCTGGTTGATTATGTTTTTTCATGTCCTTCGACCCCAAAAGATCCGGGTTAGAATTGGCTTGCAGTAACCCTTTGCTTGTCGAAAGAGGTAACTAACGGGTTCGAGTGGTCGTCAGGCTTGCTGGCTTGGTTGACACATGTCATTGTATCAAAATTGTGTAGATCAATATGCGTGCTGTTGATAACAGGATTGTTTGGTTCAGACTTGATTATTTACAGACCGCCCGCCATATAGCTGGAATATTGCTGAGTGCAGTATCAAACAACAAACAAACATCATGGCATTCAACCAGTTTTACATGTTACATACTCCACACAGGAAGTTCACGAGTATATATCAACCACTATAGTAAGTCAAGATTTCTCCAGATTCGTTTTTTCAAAATGAAGAGACGTTCTCCATGTTCATATGCATTCCTAACGTATGTTAAAAGATCATTAAAAAACCCACATCATAAAGATCATAAAGTAAATGTTAGTGTTGACATGCCATTTATTCACCGACCTGATACGCATTGTTATAACCCGGGTGGTCAAGGTCGTGACAGATGGCGGATGTGATGAGAGTGAGTATGTCGACATCGTCTAACATGGACGGCAGATCAATGAGCCATGTAAGGCCGTACATCTGAAACACAGAACAGCGATCGATCATACATTCAGCTGAAATACAGAACAAGCCAGTCTGTAAGCACCTTAGAATATACGTTGATATACCTGAAACTTAAAACAATGAAGCCACTAAATATCAGCTTACCTAAAACAATGCTGCAGCTAGACTGTGCAGCTTTTAATATGGAAGTGAGTGAACATGGTTTTAGCAATAATTCCGCAATATCATAACGTTGACTACAGAAATTACCTCACACATTGTACCCGTGTGGACAATCACAACCTACACCTTTTGCCCAACAAACGTTTTAATCTCTAGGCTACCTACGCCACCCTATGAGTATGAGAGGCATTGAGCATGGTTAGATGACCCATTTAGCAACATCAGGGCTTGATTTAGGGCTCTGTTACTTGCACTGGTGCATCCCAATATTACAAAGTGCAACCTCAGAGTTATTAGTTTAACTTGCACCAAATGCAAGTCAACTTTTGAGTGGGTACACTTCTGAATAAAACATCTAAATAATACAACAGCATATTTCTTTCATTACATATTGCAGTGCAACAGGAATTTGGCTGTTCAGGATTCTATCTTAGGTTGCACCTGGTGCAAGTAGGTTAACATCTCTTGAAACGAGCCCTGAATATTCCAGCAAAATGACAGCTGGGTACACCAGTATTGGCTTCCACACATTGAATACCCTTAGGGAATCAAATATGGGTAAATGTTGTGATTAACCACAAGGCTATCCAACCACCCCTTTGTCAGTATGGGGTGAGGTGAGGTGAATTTGGGTTTAACGTTGTGCTTGAGAATATTTCGCTCATATGACGACGTGCATGCGTGTGTATGTGTATGTGCGGCTGCTTGTACTAGCCCAGACTTAAGCTGGTTTTATAGTGCTAGCCCACTGAGATACCATGCCGCAGTGAAGCATGAATACCCCACTCAGACACATTATACTGACTCCAAGCCGACCACTCCTTGTTGTACCCATTAATGCAGAGAGCCAGGCAGGGACCAACAAGTACCATATTTTAACGTCTTTTGGTATGACGCGGTCAGGGATCAACCTCGCAACCTTGGCTCTCCGGGAGTATGGGAGTGAGAGTGTATTGTTTTATGCCATGTTAGCAATACTGCAGCAATATCATGGTGAGGGACACTAGAAATATGCTCCATATATTGAACCCATGTCAAGACTCAAACCTGGATCTTAGTCATGACAAGCAAACGCTTGTTCCACTTAGCCACCTCCTATCAGTGCCAACTTACCATTTGTGCAACCATGAAACAATGCTTGAAGTTGTGGAAAGGCACTTGATTGTAGTTCTTGTAGATCTCATACAACCACTGATGTAACACAGGCATCTGTAACAAGTAATATATCATGATACAAGCATCTGTAACAGGTAATATATCACGATACAAGCATCTGTAACAGGTAATATATCATGATACAAGCATCTGTAACAGGCAATACATCATGGTACAAGCATCTGTAACAGGTAATATATCATGATACAAACATATGTAACAGGTAATATATCATGATACAAGCATCTCTAACATACCATCACATCATATAACATGCACCAGGAACCTACACGTGATATAAAGCCACTTAATGATTAGGCCACACCATTAAATCATCGTATGTTCAAAGCAATTAGGACGTGCCATTTCACTGTGCATCATCATGATTATTTTGTTTCTTGTTTAAAGCTGCCCTCAGCAATGTTGCAGCTAGATCATGGCTGTCTGGACCAGACAATCAAGTGATATTCATTGATCTGTGCAATTGGGATAAGATGACATGTGTCAACCATGTCAGAGAGTCTGACCACCCGATCCCGTTAGTCGCCTCTTACATACGAGTACACTGAATACCATCATGACTGGGAGCGAACCCTTTCATGAAAAGATGAAGGCTGTTTTATATAGAAGGCAGAATCTGTTTATTTGATTACCACCATCATGATATGCATCAAACAAGTCAATGAGCCAGACAACCTGATCCCACAAGTTGCCACTTCTAACAAGTATGGTTTGCTGAAGACCAATTCTAGCCCCGCAATATTTCAGACACGCATATCACAACAATCTGTAAATACTCAAGCCTGGTACACAGACATGTTTGGATGCCCTTCTTGTGCAAACATTGGTGAGAATATTGTAAACTAGAATTATGCACTATTATGGAAGATTCTTTGCAATGACTTACTTCGATATTGAACTTTGTGACAAAGCCGAGATCTATGTACATCTGGCGGAGAAGGATGAGCATTTCAGAGTCGTCCCACTGCCAGTTGTCAAACGTAGGCTTCCGTAAATAGTCACGAACTTCATCTGTCATCTGGACTTGACTGCAAAAAGTTGTCATTTGTAATTATCCTGAAGGCTACAGAATATTAACAGTCTTCATGACAAATATTATTTTCCAAAGTATTTTTCTTGGAATTTCAAGAAGCAGCATTTCAATCTGTAGCTAGTATTATGAGCATACATCTACACAAAGGGGATACAATGACAAGCACCAAACATGTCATCAAGCCTTACGTACATGATCATAAACCTCCATTGACTCACGTAAAATCAATTCCCTCTGACACCACTGAACACCATCATTTTACTGTGCACATAAACACATTTTTCATCAACACATGTAATGGAACCATATTTTCTAATCACCAAAGCCAGCCCTAACAAAACACACATGCATAATTAAGATGATGGTTACAGATATACTCACCTCATTTTCATAAACTTTTCAAAAACCCGTCGGTTATGCTGCTCACTCTTTTTGAGAGATTTCTGTTTGTCCCAAAATGGCTGTAATGATGTGCCACTTGAGATATCCTTGAACAGACCTAACCAGCTTAAATGCTCAACACCCTGAAACGAGAAATCCAGTGAAAGTGAAGTTTCCATACTACAGAGGAACCGACGGCACATCTTTCCTCCAATACCAACCTGACACGTGTCTGTATTTACGTCATACCAGTATCTGTATTAATTTCATACCATATTTTCAAGGCAGTGGAGTAGCATAATGGTTAAAGTATTAGCTTGTAACACCAAAGACCCGAGTTCGATTCCACACATGGATACAATGACTGAATTATTTCTGGTGTCTGCCGATGTTATTTTGCTGGAGTAATGCTAAAAGCTAAGACCCAGTCCCATAAAGCGATCATAGCACTATAGGTTTTTTGTTAAAGTTTGAGTGTTATGGTCATCTAAGTACTTCTTTGATTGACATTTAGAAGTCGGTGTGGTAAACAATAATAATAATAATAAGTCATCTTGTATAGCGCACAGTCTCAAAACACCAAGTGATTGCTCGCAGCACTAAATCAGAATCTGATTATTATTACCCCGGATAACCCAAGCTGCCTGTTAGGCGCTAGAAGGTTATAGTTACATGACTTTATCCAACCGGGTACCCATTTTGTGCCGGGTGAAAAGAGGCAATTTTGAACAAACTTACTTGCCTAAGGTGAGACCATATGTATCACATGTGCTTAGTTGTGAGGCAGAACTTAAGTCCTAGAAACTCTCAGGATTCAAGCTGCCAAACACGGTCATCCATCCAAGGACTGTCCGAGCTTGCTGTTGCTTAACATCAACTGATTCGTGACCTGAGCTCTCTGCACAGGACCACACGCCACACGGGATAGTTCCCCAGATATACAACTTCTTTAATACACTATATGCAATGTTTCAGTTTCGATACTAACACTGGTTTCAAGCACGTGTCACTTTGCTATTATATACACAGTAATCAAGATTAGATTTCTGCAACAATATCAATACAGAAACACAGGTAGGGAGTGGGCTTCACAGTCACGTGGGGATGCAACCTGACCTTGACCCTCACAGGCAATCACATCAATAACAGGGCCACCAAACCACGTTGATGGAAACCACGCTAGAATTCAAGGTACCCATGGGACACTTCTGATCCAAGACATATCTCTACATGTTCCTAGACATACCTCTAGTTTTTCCTTAAAGTCTTCCACCTTCTCCTTCATGTCGTGGACGATGGAGGGGATGTCACCGTTGTCCACAAACACCCGCTTCTCTAGCCTCTGTAACCTGGAAACAAAAACATCCGTGCATGGGTGACACACCTTCGATACATACGTGCATAGGAAACAAATACATCTGCAAATGCCTGACTAACCATCATCTTCTCATCAACTATATTTCCAATTTTTTAATATTTTCCGCCATCTCTACTTCATACGTCTCCTCTTTGGTTTAAACCTGTGAAGAATGGTGCCTCAATTTTTCTTTAGCAACCCATGCTTTCTGTAAGAAACAACAATGCTTGTTGTATCGGAAACAGAATCAGGTGGTCAGACTTGCTAACTTGGTTGATATGATTGCGAAAATCGATGCTCATGATGTCAGTCACTGGATTGTCTGGTCCAGATTCAATTATTTAAAGACCACAAACATAGGGCTGGAACATTGCCAGACAACAATCGTGAATACAACATTGAATCGGATAATGACCCAGGTGTATGAAGAGACTGTAAAATCTTCCCATTTAGCTGTCAATGTTGACAACAGCACTTCACATAATCAGTTCTGTTCACCAAGTCAACATATCAAAATACACTACATGAGCAAGTGCATCCTCTCTATTAGATTAAAATACCATAGAGTTTCCTAGACTATGCCACGCCTTCTCATCACATCTGGAAAGAAACAGAGTCGATCTCAGAGTAGACTTCTGAGAATCAACCTGTAAAACTGAGGGGTCTCAAGCAGCTGATATTATTAAGAGGTCTAGTTTATACTGGACAAACCACAGGGGCTTGTAACGCTAAAAACTGCCATCAAGTATACTGTCACTGACAGGGTCTTAGTACTGTATAAAACGAAAGGGATGTAACGAAAAGAGTCAGCGATTTGATGGGACATATTTATTTTTAGCCAATGAGCTCCCTTGCACTATTAAGTGCAGGGCAGGTTAAGGCCAAGGTCGTCAATGGCAAACAGGCACGACACAATTCTGTTTGCGATGAATAATGTACAAAAACTCATTATGACAGTGAGATGTAAGAGTTCCCGAAAGAATGGCGACTTACTAAGCACGCTGACAAGCGTCATCAGTCCAACATGTTTTGGTGCATGTAATTTGTGTATACTGTGAAATAAACAAGAAAATGGGGGAGTTACCGATTTTGGCTCGGAATCGAGAAATCACGATTTTTCGAGCTTCCAAAGACCCTAGCTCCCAAAGTACCGCTTCGATTTTTGTGCTGTATGTCTCATTTTGTAGGTAAATCTATTGGCTTGAAATGTGTGCATAATTTAAATGGGATAAATACAGTGAGCATTGTTGAATTCGCCCTGAAACAAACTTGGTGTGAAGACCTCGTTACATCCCTTTCCTTTTATAAAGTACTAAAACCCCGTCAGTGACAGTATATACCTTGATGGCAGTTTTTAGCGTTACAAGCCCCTGTGGGACCAACTAATAATGTCCAGACCTTGGTGCCCAGTCTAAGAAAGGCATTTGATTTCTGCTGCATCAATGAAGCATGAGAGGAAGAGAAAGACCAATATTTCCCTACTGCACAATATGATGTAACTGATCACTACCAAACATAATCTCACTACCAAATATCTACCTCACTGCCAAACATCCACCTTACTACCAAATATCTACCTCACTACCAAACATCCTCCTTACTACCAAATATCTACCTCACTGCCAAACATCCACCTTACTACCAAATATCTACCTCACTACCAAACATCCTCCTTACTACCAAATATCTACCTCACTGCCAAACATCCAGCTTACTACCAAATATCTACCTCACTACCAACATCCAGCTTACTACCAAATATCTACCTCACTGCCAAACATCCTCCTTACTACCAAATATCTACCTCACTGCCAAACATCCTCCTTAATACCAAATATCTACCTCACTGCCAAACATCCTCCTTACTACCAAATATCTACCTCACTACCAAACACAAATCCCTTAGAGTACCAGAGCTCCTCAGGGAAATTTTTGAGGGCCAGAGGTGCCCCAGCACCCAAAGAAGAAGAAAATCTGCAAACTTGTTTCCTTGTTTCTATGGGTGAACTATCGTGTGGTGTATTTCATCAATACACCACACGATAGTTCACCCCTACATCAGTGTTTTTATGAACGATGTATATCAACAAATAATGTACAGATATACCATTGATATTTTATTTTAAAATGAAAAAGACGACAAATATAATAACCAATATATCAGCTGCCTTTATTTCTGAAAAGGATGTAAATAAAAATAATATTCATTGCGGCCTTAGGAGAATATAAATGCCACTTAAAGGCACTTAGGCATATTATTTTAACCCAAACACAGCGCACTTTATCTCACATAGAGTGCAATACATCTGCACTGATATGTCAGGTTATAGCGCCAGTGTTTGTTTTTCCATCTCCGCGGCGTAAACCCACTTCAATATTAATCCCGCTGACTTCCTTTCTATCAGCATACAATAACAATATACTTAGAAGCACATGTTTTTTATGTCCATACATTCACAGGCTGGAACGATACACTAATGGCGGCTATGATCTGTATCATCACATACTGTGAGTCTACTTCAATACCACTTTGTGTCAGTTGTCACGATTTGTCGGCATAATGTCACACAGGTCTCGGATGTTTACCACTTTTCATAATAATTATCATACAGTGTATTTGTAGAGAGCTAAACTCAATGCACTAGTGCATGCTCAAAGCGCTACAAATTTGTTACAATCTGATTATTATTACCCCAGATAACCCAAGCTGCCTGTGAGGCGCTAGAAGGTTAATAGTCACATGACTTATCCTACCGGGTACCCATTTTTCGGCGGAACAGGCAATTTTGAACAAAGGTGTGACCACATGTGTCACATGTGCTTCGTTGTGGGGCAGGACCGAAGTCCTAGAAACTCTCAGGAGTCAGGCTGCCAAACACGGTCACCATCCAAGGACTCTCTGCACTGGACATTGCTCAACTTCAGCTGATTTGTGATCTGGGAGATATGCACCGTAAGCGCGTGCCTAGGTGTGGTGCTGACAAACATTGATACATTATCATAGAAAACCGAGATTTCAGCCCAAAAGCACTTGCAGGTGTCTACCCCACTAACACCCGATCAGTAATATTTAAATGGAGTAACTTCCTGTAATTTTACGGTAATGACAGAAATGACCTTAGCTATACAGCTCTGCATTATCAGGGGAAATCAAGTTCTGAACCAACCATCATTGGTATGTGTCTACCCAAGTACTACCCTACCATTGATATCTCGATAAAGGAGTAACTTTCAGTAACTTTACGGTAGTGACAGTAATGACCTAGCTACCCAGCGTAGTTTGTGTGTTGTTTCAAATCGTTATCGCTCTCCATCAATACAAGGACATCAATGCTATTTTCAAAAGTGAGTGAGTTTAGTTTTACGCCACACTGAGCAATATTCCAGCTATATGACGGCGGTCTGTAAATAATCGAGTCTGGACCAGACAATCCAGTGATCAACAGCATGAACATCATTCTGGGCAATTGGGATACAATGACAAGTGTCGACCAAGTCAGCAAGGATGACCACCTGATCCCGTTAGTCGCCTCTTAAGACAAGCATGGTTTACTGAAGGTTCATTCTATCCCGGATCTTTACAGGTATATTCTATAAAGTATCCACTGCACATGTCACTTCTATCTGGAATACTAGTACAAAATTTCACATGCTCACGCATCAGTTATTCGACAGAATTCCGAAAATAATATGGTATTAAGTGTAACCTAAATTACAAGCTGCCTACAATATCAAACCAACTTGGATACCATGCTAATCTACACGTTGTTTACATGCAGTGCAAGGAGTAAACTACAAAATGCAAAGCAGTCTTTGAACAAACCAATCATAAATATTGTTTCTGTTAAAGTTCATTAATGTACGGTAATCCCATAATTTGTAAAATATAAATCACAACGATTAAAACAAAAACCCAAATGTAAGCATGTTAGGTACCTGCCACATGTAAGGGAGAAAACTCTACACTGTGATCGATCTGCACTTCTTTGGACATTCCAGGGTACCCATGCACTCTCACGATCAATAATTTCAGACAAAATTGAAAAAAATTGGCAAGTCAAAAAACGAAAGAAATTTTTTTTTCAAAAACTAGCAATACAGCCTTAAACTGAACAGGGCGGAGTGAGTTGTGTTTAATGCTGCTTTGAGCATGTCAGCTTCACGTGGAAGGATGGCCTGAGGTGATGCAGGTTCTAGACGTTAACCCCTTCAATGAAATCAACAAATATGAGAATCAGACCAAACAATGGACTTCATAAAGTAGATACAGAGTACATGCAGGCAGGGGGTAGCCCATAGCTAGTGGTTAAAGCATTCACTCATTAGAAAATGTGATGCATATGTGGGTATATATACTTTGCAGGTAATTCACCAGGTAAAGCTACTTCTCCCATCCTGCTCATGACATAACCTTATAAATATTGCATTCACCCATCTCAATGGATTATGCTGTTTCTCGCATCCATTTCACTCAGCTGATTGTGGTATTAGTGTTCAAGAATGTTACTTGTTCTGTACTTCTCTCAGATGATTGCATTTACAAAATTACCCTCAATTGGTATAGCTAGTTATTCCAGTTTTGACAGCGTATTGATTTATATATTCTGAACTTAGGTGTTTGACAGCAGGTGACAGTAATTGTACATGTTGATCCAATATTCTACCGGTACATTAGGCCAGACCAATTTTATTTCTTGTTTTATGGATCCGCCGGTCATATTTTTTCAAGAATAAGAATAAAAATAAAAATGAATTTTCCCCGCTCAAAAAATAAAACCTCATGTTTTTATTGGCCAAAACTTTAAACTAAACACCCCCTCCCCCCCAATTTTCAATTGTTTTTTGCCCCATATAAACTTCATAAATTGCCAAAAATTAAATACTTTTAGTATTTAAAAGGAAAATTATTTTGACAAGTGATTTTTATTTTCTAATTTTTTCCCTCCTGTCATTACATTTTCTGAGGACAAAAATCTGAAAAACAAAAAAATA